CTCATAATACTAATATACTCTGTGATACTGTTCTAATGTACAACTCTAGGTCTTCACAAGGCTTTACTGGGTAGGTCAACTGTATGGTAGAGTTTTAAATAATTACAGTTTACAGTATCTGTTTTATTTATTGGATATAGATTCTACACTCTTGAGTTGGTTACAGTCATTCATTTGACCAGCTCCTGGACTTCAAAGCTGATTTCAATAGAGCCTCTTTGCTAATTTGAATAATATTTCTCATTTAAAATGGCAGTGAATAGTAGGTAGTGGTAGAGGCAGACACAGACTTGTGAAATAAACCCAAACAATGTGCTGTAATTTGCCGTGACCACATCCCACCCATCTTTAGGAAGCAGAGTGGGTTCTTAAAAGGACTGCTACAGATCTAATGGGGAAATTGTTTCTGTGCTGGGCCACCGTAATCTTCTGGGTAAGGGCAGTGTATAACGTGGTGTGCCAATTTGGTGAGAACGTTTTTGTGCCGTGTACTGTGTGTTGATACCAGATATTTCTGGAAAGACTCAGAGGCACTAGTTTGCTGCATTACTGCTGGGTGGTGGATCAATATTTTTTGCAAAAGCATGGCCTCACCAGGAGACTGCTAGATGAAAGAATTGGACTCAAGCTGAAACGCCTACATGCAAAGAACTCTGATTGGGCAACAACCTACAGAAGATGTGCCTCACATCTCAGACTAGTGCTAATTAAAGGAATCTGGCCTTTTAGAGCTGTCTTTTCAGAATATAACTAAGGGTGACTGACTCCTGTGTCCATGCTTTGCTTGCTTATGATATAGGAAATGGAGCCATACTTACCTATAACAAGCAAGTTTGCACGCATATGTCTGTCTGGAGCCACCGTCCTGTTCTGGGTGAGCATAGTATCTTTGGTACACTTTTCATCTTCTCTCTGTTCCCTCACCCTTGTGCCATTTGTTTTTCTTCATCATCTTCACTAATGTCATGTGACCAGGGCCAGTATGTGTAAAACACCTAAGAAATGGAAGCCTTAATTAATCTGATCTGAGAGCAGGTTGCATATTGGACATACAGTACGCATGGTGTTCCCTCAACAACAAAAGCAAAATGACAGTGCTTCTGCTATAAACCTTTTGCAGCGGTGGCCCACCACTGCAAAATTGTTGCCACCACTGCTTCAGAATTTTATGAAATATCATAATGTCCTAATTACATGACTGTATAAAGGGCTTTTAATTTGAAACAACAGATATAGGAAGTGGAGACAGAAGTGGTACCCAGCTGAGACAAGAGGGAGAGAGAGAAACACAGAGGCTAAAATAAATAAAAGAAAGCACAGTAGACTGAAGTAACTAACATTAGGTCAGATAGATTTTACAGTTTATCCTTAACCCATCTGATGCAGTATGTCCAAATTCATTGGAAGCTCACACATATCTCACAAAGTACCGTTAGTCATTGCCTCATTGTGGATCATTGCTAATCTTTGCTGTCTGTGAAATGAATGTTTGTGAAGTAATCAGGTTTTGAATTTACATAAAACTTACCGGTGATAAGCTATGATTTCTAATTACTGTAGATCTGGATAGTCTTAACTGTCGGGGAGCAAAAAACTATTGATATCTATTTATTACTGCTAGATCTCAATAAATATGTTCTCAAGTTTGTTTGAAAATGGAAATGGGCTAATGGGAAGATTATGTTCGATTTCTTTTCATGGGGCATGCCTGCACACTTGAAGCATCACCGTTAACTCTAACATGTATAGCGGCCAACATTCAACTTGCTTTATTCATGTGTTTTGGCTTTTGCACTTTTACAACTGGCATGGTGTTCTCACTGTACCTCTGTCTTGTCAGTTTCTGTGCTGTTGTCTTTCATGTTGTCACTGTTGTCTCTGTCCCGAAGATTTCATTGATCATTGCCTGCATCATTGGGGTGATAGCGTACCGCCTGGCGGTATATGCGGCCTTCGCCGGTATCATAAAGGACAGTCCCACCAACAAGCTGCAGGTGGTTGGCCCCTACATCACGCCACAGCTGGCCACCTCTGTCACTGCCTCCTGCATCAACTTTGTCATCATCATGATCCTCAACCTTATGTATGAGAGAGTGGCTATTTGGATCACTGATATGGGTGAGGGCCAGAGAGAGAGAGAGAAGCATACAGAATGATGTTGTTGCCTTTATGTAACCACACACTGACACAAATCAATATAGTCATTGAAATTGTGAAGAACTAAATCTTTTTTACCCTTTACCATGTGACAGAAATTCCAAAGACCCACCTGGAGTATGAGAACAAGCTGACAGTGAAGATGTTCCTCTTCCAGTTTGTCAACTACTACTCCTCCTGCTTCTACGTGGCTTTCTTTAAGGGAAAGTTTGTCGGTTATCCTGGAGATTATGCTTATATGTTTGGCACGAAGAAGGGCCTGAGGAATGAAGAGGTACCAGATATAAGTACATTGAATAAAATTAGCATTGGTAATTAAACCCGAGCCTGAAATTTGAGTTAATTATTGTTTCTTTCTCATCTATGCTCTGTCTCAACCTGTCTGCATTCAGTGTGACCCTGGTGGCTGTCTGATTGAACTGACCACCCAGTTGGTGATAGTGATGACTGGTAAACAGGTGTGGGGCAACATTCAAGAGGCTCTGGTCCCGTGAGTACTCCAACTGAACATGCCACATTTAGCTCCTTACAAGTCATTTCAGCCTCCAGTATGGCTCTCTAAGGGAGTGTGACATGGCTTCTATGTCCTTCAGCTGGCTGATGAACTGGTGGGGCAGCAGGAAGGCACGAAGCCACCCAGAGAGTCTCTACAGCCGCTGGGAGCAGGACCATGACCTGCAGGGCTTTGGACAACTGGGCCTTTTCTATGAGTACCTGGAAATGGGTAAAAATCTAGTACATAGTCAATTTATTACCCACAAGGAGAGATTTGGAGAAGTAGATGAAAAGTAGGCTGCCATCAAAACTGCCTGGGAATAGTCCAAATTACTACCAAGACCAGGTCAAGCTGAATTTGAGTCAGGACCAGACCTAGAGCTAAACCAAGGCAAAAATCACTTCTATACTGTGTAAATGCTGCATTACATTAGTGAAATATACACAAGATACAAGTGAAATTATTTGTAGTGTGTGAAGATATACAGTACCTTCAACTTAAAAAAAGTAAAAAACTAGAATTACCACTTTATGGTTGTATACAGTATTATATGTTTTAAATTATACACCACCTCACAGCAAGAAGGTTCTAGGTTCAAACCTGCCAGCTGACAGGGGCTTTTCTTTGTGGAGTTTGCATGTTCTTCTTGTCCCTGCATGGGTGTTTTCCTCCCACAGTCCAAAGACAAGTTAGGGTACCTGGCAACTCTAAACTGCCTGTCACTGTGTCAGCCATGTGCTAAACTGGTGATCTGTCTGGGGTGTACCCTGGCTCTTGCCCAGTGTCCGCTGGGATTGGCTAAAGCACCATCTACAATGACCCTCTACAGGTTAAGTAGTATAGTTAATGGATGGATGGATATTATATGTCCTAAGTATGTATTTCAAGACAAACTATAGAAACATAACTAGATAGATGCAGTGACCTATGAGATGCTGCAGGTGGTGCTGTTTCCCTTATATTCCTTATATTGTGTCTCAAAAACCTCTCTTCCCTCTGCATCCCAGTGATCCAGTTTGGTTTCATCACACTGTTTGTTGCCTCCTTCCCCCTGGCACCCCTGTTGGCACTTATCAACAACATCATCGAGGTTAGGGTGGATGCCTGGAAGCTCACAACTCAGTTCAGGCGCCCTGTGGCAGCCAAGGCCCACAGCATCGGAGCATGGGAGGAAATCCTCAGTGGGATCGCCATACTCTCTGTTGTCACCAATGTGAGTGCTACACTACATCAGCCTGCTGCGTGTCTCCTCGTTTCAGGACTGATGACAGAAGCCTGGTGTGCCTTTGCAGCACTAAATTGGCTGATTTTAGTCTGAGCTTGGGTCAAACTTACAGCTTTGGCTTAGTCCTTGTCAGGCCCATTATTGTATGTTATCAGTTAAGTCCAGTTGCTTATCTTATTAACCCAACTTACGATGGTTCTTTCTGTTTTCTAGGCGTTCATTGTGGCCTTCACTTCTGATATGATCCCCCGGCTTGTGTACATGTACGCCTACCAGCCAGAGGGCGAGATGAATATGAAAGGCTACATAAACAACAGCCTGTCTGTTTTTAACATCTCTGATTTCCAACCGCACAACAAGCCTGATGATGGGGAGAACCCCCCATGGTTCAACAGCTCCATCACTACTACTTGCAGGTGTGTGGGTTTTAAAAGCTTTGTGTGTAAGAGAGAAAGCGTGACTGTGGATATAAAAAGTTTGATATGTCTCAAGTCTTCTCATTTTCCTCACTTGTGTCCTAGTCTTAGTCTTAGTCCTGCCTATGCAGGAAAAATGCAAGAGAAGAGGAATCAAGGAAGCATGTTTTTAGAGATATGACACATCCTTTCCTCTGATCCATCACCTGAAGCATCCAATCACTAAACGGTTTCATTCTAATCGAGTGACTGGAATAGCTGGAAGTAAAGGGTTTAAGCATACTTAGATCTTTTACTTCAGTAAAAGAAATACCTCAATAAATACCTTTTTTAGGTAAAATACAAAAGTCCTACTAGCAAAATGGACTGTAAGTATCAAAAGTTTAAATATTAATATTCATGATAAAGAATGGCCCCTTTCACAGTGTGTAATATATTATGTTAGTGGGTTATTATTATGGATGTGCTAAAATTTAATCAGCATTATAATGTAGCTGGATGAGTGAAGCTACTTTGAACTATTTTAGATCTAAAGTAACATGTAAGTAAAAGGGCCTCAAACTTAAGTATCTGAGTAAATTTTTGTAGCTACTTTTCACCACTGATATATGAAGTGTGGTCATAGGGGAGTGAATTAGTTCAGTACCTTCTGGACACGGTCATGCAAGATTTAGTGTCTGCAACTGATTTTTATGTTTTTAACTAAGAATTTCAGTGTAGGG